ATTGATCAAAAATTGAAGTCTGACATGTTAACGATGTATTTAACGGTGAACACTGAGAGAGATGTTACCGAAAGGATTGCAGATGATCTTCATGATAAGCCAATGTCTGATAAAGATATCGCGAAGAATTTCATGCAAGTTATGGCTGGCGGTATTGATACGGTAGGTAAATTATTTAATATTAACTTCTTTATGCGATAATTTTTCTCCCCCGGTTAAAAAAAAAAGCATAGTAATAATAACACTTTTATTCTTTTGTACAGACTTCAAATTCCATGTGCTTTTTAGTTTATTACTTGGAAAATCATCCGAAAGTAAAACAACGAATGAGAGAAGAAATTGAACGTGTTATTGGCAAAGATCCAAATTCTTTATTTACAGCGGAAGATATATCAAAACTTGAATATGTTGAAGCTGTCATAAAAGAAGGTAAGTAGTTTATACGTTGAACTCAATTATTATGTTCATGCTTAATATTGTTGATAATAATAATATCTTATTTAATTTTTAATACCAAATATTTTATAATTTATATATTTCTATAATTGCAGTTGCAAGAATCCATCCGTTATCACTGGTAAATATAAAAAAAAACTCTGTACCAGAAGTGGTAGCAGGTTATAAATGGTCTAAGGATACTATGTTTGTAATAAATGTTGATAGAATTCATCACCACGAATTAAATTGGAAAGATCCTGAAGTATTTAATCCAGATAGATTCATGGATAAAAATAATCCTGATAGTAAAAATCAAATTTATATGTTTGGCGGAGGTTTGAGAATATGTAAGTAATTTTCTTCTTTAATTATAAAAAAAAAAAAAGAATACATCATAAATTAATTATCTCTCGTTTGCAGGTCCGGGAAAAAATTTGGCAATGATGCAATTAAAAGCTACTCTAGTAATGTTGTACCGAAAATATGATATTCAACTGATGGGACCATTGAAAGATAGTATCAAGTCGATTAGGGTATGCGAAGAATTAAAAATTAAATTGAAAAAAAGGAAAAACTTGTAATTTTGTTTTCATTATTTTATTTTTGTGTTTAGTGAAATTTGTTATATATTGAAAAGTTAATTGATAGTCAAATTGAATACGTATAGTTATTTTCATTGATCGCGAAAAAAAAAATTTGGTTATATAGATAACAAAATAGTAAATATTTTATTTTTTAACTTTTTAAATTAATATTCTTTAGAGTTGCCTGCCGTAATTGTTTTTAATAAGGTTGTAATATTACAACCACATACAACATATATGTCATAATAGGTTGGAATTAATTACGGCAGGCCACTCTAATATTTTTATTTGCTTAAATATAATTTTCTACGCATATACTAATAAATAACTAAAGTCAATTTAAATAAAGTTACCTCGTTATTATCATTACTTTTAATTACCTAAAAACTAATTTATCAAACTAAAAATTATATAAACTTTATTTATTTAAAATATATTGACTTTTAAATGAATGATACAAATTATATTAACTGTTAAACCGTTTAATCTCTTAATCTTTTACAGAAGAATTAAAACAACTTGTCTTCAATTCAAATATAAACGTAAAATAAACATACAATATATACTCAAATAAGGTAGCATTTAATTTTCTGTTAAATGTAATACATCAGATCAGGGAACAAATTATTTCCTTTATTTCTACATATGTATCTCTCTTTCTTATTATGGGGCTATTTTCTTTTTTTTTTTATATTATAAAAGTAATTGATGTGTGTATCGACCATTTGCCCTCGCTTTACGAGCGTCGATGGGTCGACCGGTCGCTTAGACTAGAAATAGTTTAGGGTAGATAGTTAATATTGTACAACTTGAAATTTTAAATTTTAACAAAGTATCTAATAGGATCCCGATGGTTAAAAAAAAAAAAATCAAATGTGATGAATGTGAGGTTTGATTAGATATGATGAAAAGTTAAATTGAGAAAATTCAATCGAGAATTGTTTTTAGAATTTATTTTATATGTTGTATAACTCTAAATGAACTTTATATATATAAACTTTATATGTTGTATCACTCTAAATGAACCTCATGCATCAATATTATGCATGCGTAAACTTTATGCTGTATTAACTTTATTGCATAAAAAAATATAAATAAATTTAATAAATTTAATCCATTATCTATTTATTATTAATTATTATTATTCAGTGAATAAATTATGGTAAAATGAAAAAAAATCCACTATCCAAATTTAAAAACTAATTGAGAATAAATTAAATAAATAAAATAAAGTAATTAAATTAGAAAAAAATGAATGTAATAATAAATATTTTCTCAAAAAGAAGAAATAAAAGGTTTTTCTTTTTTTTCTGCGTCAATCACGCAGGTGATAATGTTTAAGTTAAAATATGAATTCACATATATTACCTTACATAAATAGAAAATTTGCGTATAAAATAAAACAATAAATAATAATAATAATAATAATCAATAATCAATTATATATTTAGAATGCATTTCCCGGATATCAATAACCG